TGGCTCTACTCTGTGGCCATGGCAGACACCACAGCGGGAGAGAGGCTGGGGAAACTCTCCGGCACATCCACCTGCCCACCCAGGCACCTCTCTGCTGTCACTGTAGCTCATGGGATGATTGGCCCTGCTCATCTGTCTCTGATTACCATGAGCTTCATCAAGGGTGGTTGTGGCCCTCAAGAAGTCTTGGCCTACAACTCCTACAATCCCTCATGAGAGCCTCAGGTTGTAAGCTGGAGGGCAACACATGGCTCCCTGAACCACATGCCCCTAATCATGTAATCAAGCAGCCACTTGTCTGGCTAGTATCTGCTTGGGTATTTTCTTGTTTCTTGCAAATGCTGTATGCTTTCCCTCAATCATATCTAAAATCATTTCTTGTTCCCGGATGTGTTTGACCGGCTTTCTTCTGCAGAGCTGGTGCTGGGGACTGCCCAGGGAGTCCTGTGGGGAACTTTTGGGTGTGGTTAATAAATCCATTAAATAAAAAAATAACTATAATTCCCAGCAGATGATACAAATGGGGCTAACATGGATGTGCCCACATTGTAAAAAGGAAAGAACCCTTAGAAAATTGCTAGCATTTTCCAAACACTTGCTGAGAACTTGCAATTACTTTAGGAATAAGACAGGGTGGAGTGCCAGGGTGCGGCTATAACTTTTAAAAAATATGTTCTTATTTCTTTGCCACTTTATAATGCTGGCCCATTTTGTGCTCAGATCCTTTCATAAATATGTACAGAGGCATGGAAGTAGGAATGAGCTAATTTTGGAAGTGTATACTTAGAACAGATGCTTCAGTAAAGAAAATGTAATCTCTTCCTCCTGAAGCTGTGAACTTTATTTAATTGGCTCTGCTCTTCTCCCTGCTACTGTTAGCCTGACACTTAGAGATGCTAGATCAAAGCAGAACTCCTTTCAAGATCCTGGATCCTCTGAAAATGAAAGCTATAATCCTATGCCCTTTTACTTGAAAGTAAGCCTCACTGAATTCAGTGGGACTTACTTTCTAGAGAAAGAGGCAGGACAAGCTGAGGCTTCGCTGCAGGTGCAGTACTTCAGGATCTCTGTCTGGGCTGGGATCTGACGCAGGGCAGGGTACCTTCTGCAACACAGAAATGTATGTTTGCTCTTGTTTATGCATTGCTTATATTTTTGTATATCAAGCATATGGGTTTCTCTACATGAAGTTTTTGACTTACCACTTTAGTGAGGCTTCCACTTCTGGATTTTTGCAGGGATTAAGATTGGCTCCTTTACATGTGGGGGTGGGGGGCATTTCCCAGAATGTTTCTTCCTCTGCCTTTCCGTATGTTCTTTACATAATCAACAGTTGGTGATGTGGTACAGCAGGATTGCAAACATGATCAGGAGTGAAAAGCATTTTCAGATCATGCCCCACTATAAACCATGTTGCAGAAATGATTGGAAAACATGGGAGAGGCCCTGGAAGGTGATAATGTTGTGTAGCTCACCTGCAAATTACCATGAGTGAGGAATCAAAAACCCACAAGAAATGCCTAATGTAGAGAAGCCCCGAGTCTCCAGTGGTCTTTCTTTGAAATTATACCAAAGTTGCAATCCTCAACCTACTTACTTGGAAGGAAACAAGACTTACTGACTTCAGTGGGACTGATTTGGAGTAGTCACATATTGGATTGCAATGTAAACCAGAAGCTCTCTTCTTGAGTCTTCTTACCACAAAGAAGTGGGACAGTCCTAACAATATCCTGTTAAACTAACAAAGGAATTTTGTCTTTACTCATGGATTGTAGTTAATTCTGAAATAAGAGGATCCAGAACTGCTCAATGCTTCCCATAAGTCACATCCTGTGATCTTTAATCCCATTTCCTAATCTTGTGGGCTAAGATTAGTTACTGGTGAAACAGTTATGCACTGAGGTAATTTCAGACAATAGGACATAAATAAAATATGGTTAAATAAAATAAGACCGATTGGACTCAGTGGGTTTTAATTCTGAGTAAACATGCATGCATTCACTGTTAATAGTCTAACAGGGGACTGTCTCTTTAGAGTGAAAAGTGTATCATTTCATTTACCAACCTCATTACATTTGTGGGCCCCAAACTTCTGCCACAAACCTGATTTTGTGAGGCAAGGTCAATACACTCAAAATGAATACTATGCCTGAGATTGTATGCAAGATTCTATTAGAAGAGCCATACTGGATTGGACCAGTATTCAGTTCACACAGTGGGCAAGCAGCTGCCCATGGGAGAACCACAAGCAAGATGAGTGCAGCAGCACCCTCCCACCCAAGTTCCCCATAACCTGGTGTACACAGGTAAACTGCCCCTGATACTGGAGGTAGCACACAACCATCAGGACTAGTAACCACTGATAGCTCCTCAATAACTGTGTCCAGTCTCAGTTTAAAGCCGTCAACACCCACCTATCTATACGTGGCAAATATTTTCTAACATGCTTTGTTTCACAAATTTGCTGGGATGGCTATCTCTGCCAAGTTTATCGTGTCCAGGATGCATCTTCCAATTAAAGAAGGTGGATTTGGTTTTCTGGATCTCATTTTTGGCATTTTGAAATCCCCTTGTCTGATTCCTCTTTCTAAACAGATAGCATCAGCTTATGGTTGCCGATGTAAGGCATGCAATGTCACATCAATTACACTTTGGTCCATGTTTTCATGCTGAATTGATTTTATGGAGCAATCCAAATCTAAAAATTGGCAAAAAAGTGTTTTAGTGGCAGACATGGACAGATAAGGGAACTTTTACTTTGGTTTAACTGATGGGTGTTGGTGAGTTTTTGTCATTTTCTGTCCCATGTGTCAGGTATGACTTGCCATCTATGGCTGAGTGGCAATACCTGAAACTGCAGTCTTTGTTAGTTTCCAGGTTTGGCCTGGCTGCTTTTATTCTCTGTCATTATTGGAACATTTATTGAGGCTGGTCAGGCAAAGTCAACCATGTCTAAATATGTGTTATTGGTGAATTAATATACAGGATCTTAAGCAGGAAATGCATAGGGAATTGGATTGTCTCATTCTGCCCTCATTGGATTCTGGATTGCCACTTTGGCCATCTATACCTATTGTATTTATGACTCTTAGGTTGTTTCTCCTTCACCCCAAAAATAAAATAAAATAAAATCATTTGCTTTGTGTCCATTGCACAGTGCAAGACCCCTTGTATAGGGGATTGTTTAATTCATCTAACTGCTGGGAGTATATGCATCTAGTGCTTCTCTTCACCATATTTTGGCAATGTTGGGTAGGTGCTTCTTTTGAAGAGGAGGTTATTCGTAGGGAAAAATTTGCACTGAGATATCCTTTGATGGACACCACACTTTTAAATTATTTACCTGCTTTATGAAAAGGAAGGAATGTTCTGCTAAGATTCTTTGAGCATTTTGATAGCCAAAAATCTGTTATTACAATACTGGAAGGAAAAACATTCACAACCTACGACACAAGGGATTTGGACCTTACAACACACTCTGTATTTGAATAAATGGTATACAGAGGCTACCTTCAAATGGATAGTACTTTGGAGATCTGGAATCCTTTTGTTAAGGCCTGTGTATTTTGCTAAAAAGCTGCATTTATATATACATGCATTTCATATGTATTCATTGCTATGGATATAGATAAATGTTTGTCTAGATATTAAAGCAACAAGAACAACAACTTGTAAATATTGAGGCAAGCCAATCTTGCTAGATTGGAGCCTGGACTTTTGCCTGATTGCACCATAACTGGATTGTAAAGCTGCAGGCAGGAACCATACACTTGTTGACCTTTGCAGGCTGCTCTGGGAGCCTTCTTGCTAAAATGCCATAGTAGAAATCCTGCAAAAATAAATGCACTTTGCACTTACTTTCTCTGGGACTACAAGCTTTGATTGATAAATATATCAGGTGAATTAATCAATAATTTACCTTCTGACTGACTAAAAAGATGCCCTGAAAGGCAGTATTTGTATAAGGAAATTTTATAATTGTATTACAACTCCCCATGAAAACTGTTGCCAAATGGTAAGTTCCATCTTTAAAAGGTACATGCTACATTTCTTCTCACATAAGGACTGTTTCTCTTGGAAGATTAGGCTTGCTGTGACACATACACAACTGACACACACAAAAAATCTAAAATCAATATATGTTTACACTTCAGAACTATTGTTCCTCTTATATGAGAATTTAACCACTTAGCTGGACCAACCTCATTTGATTAAAGACCAGCATTCTGTGAATGTATACTCAGACGTCTGCACATAAAATCACTAAAGGTGCAATTCTAGACAGACAAGGAAACAACTGTAGACAGGAAAAAGTCCTACAGCTCCCAGCATTCCCCAGCCAGCTGGGAATTATAGGACTTTTTTCTGCCCGCGTTTGCAAAGCATGGCGCCCTGCCATAAATTAACGTAATGAAAGCCTTCATGATTACATGGCATGTCATGCCATTGACGGAACAGTCTCATCGCAGTTTGAACGCGGCAAGCCTGCGTTAAAAGACAGAGAAACCCAACCCAGTTCTTGCTCACGGGATCTAACGGATCCATCTTCCATTTGACATTGGACCAATTCCCTCTCGTTATCGCAGCGCCAGAGTACCTTCTCCCAACTCAAACTCCCGAGTATTTTAAATACTCTTCGTAACGCACTTCCGCCTGATCCCGCCCACAGACAAACAGGGATTTACTATTCGGCAGTCCTGGGGGCGAGCGGGGAAGAGAGAGAAAAGCAGCTCACAGTAAACCGGTCGCACGCAAGGCAAGGAAAGTTTAGGTCCCTCTGTGCTCGCCTTCTCCGTGCATTCAGGGGATCCAGCTTCGGTAGCATATGGATTTTTACAGCGCCCGCGCTGCAAGCAGAAACGCAGGGGCAGCCTGTAATCCCGTCCCCCTGAGGACCGGCGCGAAGGATTTCATAGGATCACCTAACGAAACCGCCGAGATCGAGTTCCCGCCTCCTCCTCCTCCGCCGCCGCCTCCTCTCCCCCTTCCTCATTCATCCCTATCGCCAGCCGCCTGGTACATTATGAGCGGCTCCTTCCTGGTTGTTCGCGAGATTGCCTCTTTGGACTTCCAGCGTCGGAGGCTTGCGAGCTAAGCGAGGCAAAGCCGGGAAGGGGAATCCCTTTGCTGCCAGCGCCTCCCGGGGCTACTCCATTCGTCCTCAAAACGTGTGGTAAGTCCAGGACGAGGGCTCGTCGCCCAGAAGCTGGCTCGAGTTAAAGTTTTCCCTTGCGGTCGGCTGTGCGCCGGCGCTACGTGCGGGTCCGGCGGGGCGCAAGGCTCGCGAACGGGGCTGCCAGCAAGAATGCCTTCCTTTCGCCCTGCCCGTCCAGGCTGTCGTTGCGCTCTCGCAGACCTGCTGAGCCCCCCCACGCACACGCCACCGGCGACTCGTGTCAAGTGCCTTAGCAGAAGAGTTCACGATTGCTCGCTCCCTTTCTCTCGGCGGCGAAAGCTTTCGCCACCCGAGCAAGGAACGACTTCCCCGGCGGAGGATTTCCTCCGTGCAAACGCGTTCGCGTGAAGAACGCTTCTGGGGTTCTTGCCTTAGATTCAAAGGCATTGGCGGTACTTTGGGATGGTCCACTCTCGGGAACTTGAGAGTTTGCGACACGGAAGCCTACAGGATGCCTGGCACGACCCGGAGGGTGGGGTCTCCTTTGCACTGTTGGGTTTTCTGTATGTGAGTGCGCGCGCACGTGTGAACCCTGGTAACATTGACTAGAAAGCAGAAGAGAGAGTCATTGTTAAATGGAAGGTATGATCTAACAGCAGGCGCTGGAAGGCAAATGCCCACCAAAGATTCTCCTATAAAATTCTGAGCTAAATCTCACAGGTGGCAAATTCTGACCACAGTCTCATACACGCTTATCCTAGAGCAGGTCCCACTGAATCTAGTGCGAATTTCTTTTGAGTAGACATTCCTAGGGTTGCACCATTCATATGTCACTGCCCCCTTTTGAGGGGCTCTTTGCAACTAACTGTTCTTTTCTTTATGCTTTTCTGGAGTGTAAAGTTGTTTTTCAATGCATCAACCCTGCAATATAGTTTTGGCTAAGAGATCATGTCTTGGCCAGGACCACGCTATTATCCTTTCAGCTTAATTTCTAGAATAATTGCCATGATCTTGTACTGTGTAAATGAGGAGTGTCATAATTTGTAAGTCTTATCAGCTGCCATCATTTGGTAGTAAAGGAAGAAGATTCTGCACATGACCAGAGGCACTCTTTTATTAAACAGGCTTTGTGATTTGGGTCTTGTTGAGCACCACAATGTAGCAGAGTTATGTAGTGCACTTGCTGATGGGTGAGCTGAAGAGTCCTGGTTGAAATTTCTTCTCTGCTATGTCCTTCCTAGCCAAATCACTGCTAACTTCCCTTCCATCATTGACAATATGGGGGGTATTAATAATGGCCTGCCTTGCAGGATTGTTGTTTGGATCACTGAATTGATTGCCAGAGCAAAGGCCTGTTGTCACCTTGGGCTGCCTTTTGCTTTCCTAGGTATGTAGTCAGACGTTTTCCAAGTCTTGCTACTACAGGCTAGTGTATTTTTCTCAGCCCACCTTGGTAATTTCTTGTAGAAATCATGTTGCACAAACTTTGGCTGTACAGTAGATGTGCTGCTAAGGGCTTTTTCACAGGGGGTGATGCAGATGAAGTAATCTTTTTTCAAGGGTAATTGCTCTTGTTTGGGGTGCTATTCCTCACAGGAAGGAAGCAGCTTTACAAAAAGTGCTGATGCTACTGACACATTCTTCTTTAACCAAGAAGATAAGTATGTACATACAAAGAAAAAAGAGTGCAGTTATCTTGATGCATTCAGTTGCACAGCTGGGGAGAAAAAGAGTTATATTGCCGTAAATGCTAATTGGTTGAATTCAGGTGGTCATCTGGCAGTGACGCTTGGGAAGGAAAGATGGCTTCGTTTTCTTGCAATGCTCTTTAAAGGAGAGCCTTCCCCAACTGGATACTTTCCAAATGTGTTTGACTGCTACTCCCATTATCCCCATCCAGCACTAAAATTGCAGTCCAATATATCTGGAGAGCACCAGGATGGGAAAGACTGCTTTAGGACCTGCCCGATTATTATGGGAGGAGTGAGACATCCCACTGTCTTGAAAACTCTCTAATGTGCAACCCAGAATGGAGGCAAGTTCTATTTATTGATTGTGAGCAAAAGGGAGTTTATTATTGGTCAACAACACTTCCTCTTTGGGCTTATTGCCCTTGTTCCATTCCAGGATCTGGCACAGAAATGCTTTCTGGCGTCTAACCAAATTACAAATGCCAACAGTGAATTCAGTTGTCACAATGGCACCTCCATGCACCCCCCCCCCACAAATTGCTCAAGTACCAAAATGACACCACACTCCTTTTTTTTAGGAGGCAACCTAAGGTAGGGGTTCTTTCCCCACTGAGAACTGAGCATGCTTAATGGACACAGAAAGCTAACTGACAGGAGTGTGTGTGAGACTGAAGAAGCAGGGTGGGATGGACTGTCTTATAAAAGAGCATGGCTGGCTGGCTAGAACCCTAAAAGAACACTCCATGCAACATTTTGCTACAAGTTCCTCTTTTATGTTAATTAAATAAATCTTCAATAAATAGTAATTCATCTTTAGGTAATATGTGAATTTGAGTTTCTTGTTTTCCTTTTGCCCTGTGGTGATTGTAGTCATGTAGGGTTTATAGCACCAAGGCAAGAGACCAGTCCATCCTGGTGTAAGTGCCCAGAGAGAAGCCTGGTTCTGCACCAAGCCTTCCCTGGCAGAGGAGGTGTGCACCTGCATTCCTCTTGAAAAGCACGTAGTGAGGAAAGAGCTGTTTGCTCAGCAAAGTTTGGATCATCATCAGTGTTTTCCATTGTAGAAATGGCAATGATATCATAACTTGATCTCTCAAATTCAAATAGTTCTTCTGTTCCGTGATCAGTGCAGTCAGAGGAAGCACATAATTCCCCATGTCTTGTTTACATAAGCTGTAAAATAACCCACAGGCTCACCATGGATACAGCACCTTTCCCCATAGCACAAAGTGCAGAACCTCAGAACTGAAAGGCAGATTTGGCCCTGCTGGATGCCTGGTCTAGCTATCAATGGTTCTCCAAATGATCGTTCCACCTAGTCCCAACCCTGTTCCCTCCAGCAGCTCCCCCCCTTCTCGGTGGGTGGGTGGTTTCTTGACTTTTATGCAGGATTTTCCCCTTTCTAAAAATGGAGAAAATTCTTTAGCTTGCTAGCAGGGAATGAGGAGCTTCAAGCTCCTCTTCCATGACTGAGTGAAAGGAGGAGCATTTTGGTCAGGGATTTGGGAGGTGCACAGCGACCTTACACAGGTGTACGTGAAGATCTGGTGCGGTGCCTGTGTCAATGGGAGGGAGTAGGGAGGAGGCAGGGCTCTTTCATTTGCTCTGAGGAGCTCTTGCACCTCCAGTGGATGGCTCAAGTCCAGGGTATTTCTTCAAAATGTGTTTTTAATTCAGAACGGCTGTCTTTCAAATAATGTGATTATTGGGCTATAATCTTCCAAGTCCAGTCTTTGGTGATGTGAAGTTTATCTCTTTCTTCTGGCTTACTGAATTTCTTCACATGGCAACTATGTTCAACATCATTTTTTAATTGAATGAGCGGGCAGACATTCAAGAGGTGCAGCATCTTTTAGCATGGGTGCTATGGTAATAGGAGAAATGGTGCATCTCTTAAATTTTTGCTTTTTCTGAGGCTGAAAGAAACACAAGAATACTTTCTCCTCAGTGGCTCCAAGTACAAATGTGCCCTGGATTACTTAGGAATAGTTCCCTTGCCACCCCTGCTCAAATATTAAAACAATAAATGCAAAAAAATCCTTTTGAACTTAGAGTGATGTCTTCTGGATTGTACCTTGAATAATGCATACCCCATTTTCCTTTTAACAAGTTATCATTGGTTTTTGTTCTTTACAAAGCAAATTTTAAACCAGAATTTTCACTTAATGTGAAATAATATACTGTGCTATCAGGTTTAGTTATTTCATGATAAACTTCGTATTTAGAGTCTACACATACACAGAGCAACTTGTTAATCTTATGTTCAAAGCCTGTTGAAGTTTATACAGTGCCCTGAGAATGTGAATATGTTCTGTTCAATCAGATGCCTTGGGGATGAAACTTCCCTTGACTTGGTTTTTATTTGAATTGCTAATGTTCCCTTTGAAAAGGCTAAGTCAAGTCACATGAGTATCTCTGTATGTTTTGACCTTAATGAAAAGCAGGATTGTAACAGATACAAGCACCTTAAAATATGCAAAGAATCCCCCTCTCCATCCCTCTACCCAAACTGATTTTTAAGGCAATGTAAAAACAAGTGATATGGGATATTTTACACCAACTTACAATGCAATCCTATGCATGTCCACTCAGAAGTAAGCCCCACTGAGTTCAGTGGGATGTGCTTTCAGGTAAGGCTGTATGCATGGATTGCAGTCTCAATCTTCTTAAATGAGTTGCAAACCCCCTAACAAAAATGTTATTTCTCTGAAATTCAGCATAATGAATGAATAATTGTGCCTTACAAAGTACTGCATTTAAAGCTGTGCTGCTTCTACAGAATGGGTGGTCATCATCCCCAATACAGCAAGGGCCACTTCCTGGGGCAGTGAACTATCCTCTGCATTGGACCACTGGTGTGCCACACCCTGCATATATTGCAGCATTTCCGCTTGCTCCCCCTTCTTGCCTTGAATGAACCCAGTTCTGTCTGTCTGTTGTATTCCACATTTCCTTAAGAAACCCAAGGTAGTTTCCAATTCGGAAGGCACATGGCACAATAAACTGGAATCTCCCCACTGAAAGCAGAGCTCAAATAATTAAAAGGCATTGAATAAAGGAAGGGTCAGGCAGAGGCATATCAAAACTGAACATCAGACATTTCACAGTAGAATAGAATGGCAAGCAGACTTATCAGTTTTTATGGCCAAAGAGCATTATTAAAAGGGATGCCTGTTGCATATGGTGGAAGATCATGTTGCTGAAGCATATTCATTTCATGTAAACAATTGAGAAAAAGCGTGGACATTTCAGAAAAAAATATTTAAGAATATTGAAAATTGCACATCCTTTCATGGGGGAATCTGAATTGTCCATATATGACAACATTAAAGAAAATCTGAAGACACAGACCTAATACATGGCTGG